CCGGCCGTAGTACGCTCCATGGCCGGTAGCGACAGTTGTTTTACCGTGGTCGCAACCTTCTGCGAGGAAGTAATCTCGCAGAAAGAGGCGGCGGAGAAGGCCCGGGAGGACGACCTCCACTCGGACCCGATCCGCCGCCGGCGAACCGGGCGGCGGAGGCGCGCCTATCACCGCCTCATGCCGCCCTGAGTGTGGCCGCGGGTGGACGGGGTGGGTTTCCATTCCACCCGCATTAGTTTGGCCAGCCGCGAGGGGGCGGCGTCCGCGTGTGCCGGACGTCGCCTAAAGAGAGGAAAAATTTTGAGACGGAGCCCGCACCAGGAGCGGGCTGGCTCTAGGAGGGGTCCGGATGTCTTAATAACAGCTGTTCCCGGATCCCTCCTGTTACAGGCGCAGAGTGGCACACCGTGTGGTTTTAGTCGGTCCGAGTCCGACAAACCACCCCGCCGCAAACCCCGGTGGGGTGACGGTCCGAGGGGATTTCCACACGTTAAAAAAAAAAACAAAAAAAAGGCTGCCCCCGACGTCGTTCGTGCTTGGTCGTCGTCGCCCATGGAGGAGGTTGTAGAGACGGCTTAGTAATGGACCAAGTCTCCAATCTCCTTGTCCAGACGAACCTGAACCACTGTGCCGGTGCGCAGAATCTCTTCCTGCAAACCATGACGCAGTGGTCGATCGGAGTGGCCGTAGCCGCGGAGCCCTATTATGTTCCTCCCCGTCCAAACTGGTTGGGTGACCTTGACGGCACCGTGGCAGTCGTCGGTTCTACGGCGGCTCATTCCCCGCCCTTGTCGTTGAGAGACAAGGGCACTGGATATGTTGCTGCCGATTGGGGGGAGATCACCATATATGGTGTTTACTTTTCCCCCAACCGGAGTTTAAGCGACTTCGAGGTTTTCCTCAACAACTTAGAGACCTCGATGCGGCGACTAGTGTCTGGGCACGTCCTTGTGCTGGGGGACTTCAACGCAAAATCCATCGCTTGGGGTTCCCCTAGGTAGGACGCAAGAGGCGAAGCCCTAGAAGAGTGGGCGGCCTCGGTGGGCCTTTGTCTTCTAAACAGAGGCTCCACCAACACGTGCGTGCGACAGCAGGGGGGGGGGGGTCGATAGTGGACCTTTCGTTCGCTACCCCTGCCCTCGCCGCACGAGTAAGGAACTGGAGTGTCCTGGAAGAGGTTGAGACGCTCTCGGATCACCGTTATATTCACCGTTATAACTTTATATTTTTTTTAAAGAATGTTAAAAGAAAATAAAAGAATGTTAAATTATGCTTTAGTGGATGCGAGTAGCCCAAAATCGATCTAAGTGGCGTGCAATGCGAGAGGCCTATGTCCAGCAGTGGACTGCGATAGACTGATGATGATGATGATAAACTGGACTTTAGAGAAGGACTTGCAACGCGCTTGTGACTCCTGAGTTGAAGACGTTCATGGGCGGCGGTACTCGCTTTCCATCAGGTGACCCGTCTGCTCGTTTGCCCCCTATTCCATCCTCAAAGTTATCCTAGGCACGCTTTCCTTCTTTAATTTGCAGCATAAATTAAGTATTGTCCTAGTTACAACACATATTGTGAAAAATTAAAAGTCGAAACTTACTTTTGTTTATTTTCTTGTATTAAATCTAATATCATCGTCAGTCCTAATAAGGGTGAAAATGAGCACATTTATTTTTTGTGAAACTCTTTACCAGTAAATTTATCTAATTTAAAGCAAGCACGTTCACATGTAACAAGGAAATAGTATTATAGTTCAAAAAAGGTTTACTAAAGGTTACAATGTTAAGGTTTACTATATGATCGTTTTTGTTAAAAAAATATTTTAATTGTTTATGGTCACTGTATTGTAAAGCAGTTAATTAATTATAACATGCAATATGCATTATGTGTAATTTTCACGTATCTAAAAATATTCGCTGAATATTAATTTCAACATTGGCCCATTAAATATGTTGAGTTAGAGGGTCGCTAGGTTTAAACATTCAAATTAAAATTAGCTCAGGTCCTACTCGTTATTGATAAGAATAAATTATTATACTGATATCTGACTCTGAAGAATATATAATGACGTTTATCTTCTACTTCTATGCTATTAAAGCGGAAAGTAATAATTTTCTATGGTGAATAAAATGATATTATAGGGGTTCCCGTATGGTGAATATCCGTAGCGATTGCTTTATGTATGTATCTTTTCAATACCTTTTATTGCTTTAATTGTTGCTAATCGAGGGCTAGTGGTCCCTCCTCATTTATATATTTTATATTATTGTATATTTTATCATAAGCCCAAATTATGTATCTGTATTATAGTCGGGTCTTTAACGTAATACTTGAGTAAGTTTCAACTATTATGAAGCTGTAATAACATAAATTTTCTTTTATAAATAGCACAGTTGCAGCTGAAAAATTCTACTTATTAATTAAACCTGTATTAGATTAGTTTTATAATTATTTTTAAGTTTCAGGGAGGTATTTATGTCGACACAATAATATGAGTTACTACTAGTTACTACGTATGACTATGATTCAGATATTCCGAACTCCTATTGTTTTATTACCACAGTTATTCATTAAGAAACCCTTGACGTCTAATGATGACTTAACAAAAAAAACTAAAATCTATATTGTTGATGTTACGATTATAATTGATTAATACTAAAAATATAATAACAAATAAATTGGTAAAAATCTAGGTACAAGATATGATGGATCACAGTAGAATTGAGAAGGGTCTTCCGTTAGTGAAATTTAGTGTATGTACTGCTGAGCATTGAAGAGTTTCATCGTCTGGAGTCAATTCTGGCAGCAACAGTTAGGTGACGGTATTTTTACTCATCTAACAAATATCACAAGTTCAATAATTCATCATTACCTATTTTTCATTAAACTTTTAAATTTTAAATCAAAGCAGTGCCATCCGCTTTACATAACAAAAAAAAGAAAATTTATGTACCGGAACCATAAAAATTACAGCTATTCGAATGCTACTCATATGGATCTACCCCTTTTCATTTGTCAAATTTATGATCATAAAATAAATACAGTGGAACATAGAACCTCCTCCTTTTTTAAAGTCGGTTAAAAATGAGTTATGCTCATTGTTTTTTTATATCTTAAAACTTAACATTACAAAACTTGTGCAGTGTGCTGTAATAAATCTGAGCGAAGAAAACATGGAAAATAGTCTATTTATAGCATTTGTTTTAAAACCTCCTCTTTTAACTTATTAATGTCTTTATATTTAGAAAATCTCTGTAAATATTGACATACGTTATATTCAAAGAAGTCCGTCAATGAGTCTAAAATAAATGCAGTAACAAACGACTAATTTAAACATTAACTCAAGAAATCATAAAAGATATGAAAGTATGTTTAAGTATAAACCAGCTTACACAATGTAGTGGTAGACTTAGTATTTGCATTGCATTTTTAGTACACCTTACTTATTGAGGGATGTGGATCTGGATCGTGTATGATCTTGGCTTTATTACGTCAAGACATTAGTTTTCATTATAACTAAATAGTAGTTTAACTTGCTGACTGCCACTTTTGTTTAGGCTTGCCAGGCATGAATAATCTCTCTTATAGAATATTTACATTTATAATACTTATTAAAATAGACGTCATTTCAGAAAACCAGTGACGCAATAACATTGCTAAGATTAAACAGGTTTTGCAATTACATTGTTAGACTGTTGCTTTGTTAGTTTATGTAGATGTGATAATAAACAGATGATTTGCTTTAATTTTTAAAATCGTTTCTTAATAAATTGTTTAATCGTTCTGCAATGTTTATTTTCATCTTAACAAACAGCAATCTGTTCATTATAAAAAAAAAAAAACTGATCTTATCTTATCCGTTCATGAAAATTTTCTGCATTTTTATCATTGATTTCATGAATTGTAAAATTAACCTTCCAAGTATGTTAAAATATGCATTTAGAAAGCTGGAAAATGAAACAAGCATTCAGTTCAACGAATTACTACCTTTACAAAGCAGTACCAACATTAAACGGGCAAAAATTATTTCAACATTTAAAATATGCTGGGCTGAAAAAAATCAAAAATTATCCTGCTTAATCCAATAATTCTGAATTAAGAAAAGATAGTGAGTATTAGACCGATTTGGTGATGCTATAACATTTTTTTTATTACATCTATAGTAAGAAATAACTCTATCAAAATCGAACCACCGTAACACCTCTCCATTTTGATTCGAGAATGTTTTAAAGTAAAAGAAGGGTCTTACTGTAGATTACATAGTAAGACTAATGCTACAAGGATCTGATATAATTTTCTGTTGTGGAAATGTTCAGAGAAATATAATAATTTGTTTCTGAGGCTGAAGAAACGGTCGGCCTACTAAACTCGATAATAGAACAGTCAGTGAGTCTGCATATTTCTCTGTTTGTTAGTCGGCGGACATCTTCGAAACTTGAATTATAAAACCGACTATTTCATGTAGGTTTCATAGATTAATACAGTTTAATTAGAAAACTTAAAGGAAATATCATATCATTATTTGAAGATAGTTGCGTTTCATCTCAAGTGAGATACAGAGAGAGAGAACTACAGATTATCCTGCGCCTTGGGCCTTTGCGGAATGAATATCTTACTTGACCGTACATTTTCTGTTGTCTGTTTACAGTATCAATACAAATTGTGTTTTCCAGGAGCTGATTATGACTAGGAAGTAACAAGTTTTCCTTACTATTTAGATATATAATCTTGTATGTGCCTAAGGAAAATTCCTTAATTCCTTTATCTATGTTGATGTTTGTTGGTACTGAGATGTTGTTATAACATTTCTATTGAACAAATCCTATAACAGATAACGAGTACAAAATTATCTCACTATCTATGGAATAGGTACTATATATAATTACAAATAAAATAAGTTAGGTATACCGTCAATTAGTTCAACCGAGTTCATTGAAGAAGATACTTCAAGAAAATAATAAATATTAGATAAATATTAAGACTATTTTATTTACTTTATAAAAATGACTACGGAAAAAGATGTTAATGTCATCGAAAGTCAACGAAACAAAACAACGGAGAAGGTTGAATATGATGATTTGCTATCATCAGCAGGTGAACTAGGGCTTTACCAATGGACATTATTTTTTTCTACATACCCCTACTTCGCTTTTGGAGTGTTTGTATATTTCTCTCAAATATTCATGACTGAAGTATCACCAAACCACTGGTGCTGGATACCGGAATTGGAAAATATGACTGACATTCAACGCCGAGACCTTGGTGTACCTAAAGATGAAAATTCAAGGTTTGGATACTCACAATGTGAAATGTATAAAGTAAATTGGACTGAAGTGTTACTGACAGAACAGAGGCCTGATCATACGTGGAGCACAGTACCATGTCAGCATGGATGGGAGTTTAATAAGTCTGAAATACCGTATCCTACTATAGGTATGGATCATGAATGGGTTTGCCAAAAAAATAGTTATCAAGCGACGGCTCAATCTATATTCTTTGTTGGCTCTATTTTTGGAGGAATCGTAACTGGATGGATCGGTGATCATTATGGAAGAATACCGGCTATTACAAGTTGCTGTCTTTTAGGCTGTATAGGCGGTCTTATCAGTACCTTTGCTCGAAACTTTTATGAATTTACTTTGGCAAGATTCGTGATGGGTATGTCATATGATTCTTGTATGATTATGGCATATCTTCTTATTTTAGAGTATATTGGACCAAAATATAGAACACTTTTGGCAAATATGACAACTGCCATATTTTACTCTCTGACAGTAACCGCATTTCCTTGGATTGCTCTGGTTTGTGGTCACTGGAAAACTATCTCTCTAGTCACTAGTCTACCTTTAAGTATTGCAGTACTAACAAAATTCATTTTACCAGAGAGCCCTAGGTGGTTATTATCTAAGGGAAGAGTAGATGAGGCTATTGAAAAACTACTCGTTATTGGTCGGATTAATAAGAAAGAAGTGCCGAATAAAATCATACTTCAATTTAAATTATCAAGTAGAAATATCAAAGAAGAAGGAAATCAAAATTTCCTGGAAATTTTTAGAAGACCATTACTAAGAAAAATGTATACCTTAATTTGCTTGGAGTTCATGTGTTGCGTTATAGTATTCGATGGACTAGTGAGAAGTATTGGGCAATTGGAATTAAATTTTTTCGTGTCCTTCTCATTGATATCATTTACTGAACTGCCTTCTGTATTTATAGTGGCATTTATTATGGACTATATTGGAAGGAGATGGCTGTGTATAGTGTTCATGGGTATATGCTGTGTATTTTGTATTTTAATTGTATTAACTAGTGGTTTACAAACTGTGATCTGTGCTGTAATAGCAAGGTTTGCAGTAAACATGGGACTTAGTGCAGCTACGCAGTGGGCACCAGAGATTCTTCCTACATCAGTGAGGGGTTCAGGCGTATCTTTAGTACACATTTTTGGATATATTGCATCGTTTTTAACGCCATATATCGTCTATTTGAATGTATATATTTATTGGCTTCCTTTAGCTGTACTCGCCGCAACAGCTGGACTTGGAATGCTGATTGCTTTCGTTTTACCAGAGACTGCCATGAGAGGTATGCCTCATACGTTTGAAGATGCTGAAAAGCTGACAAAAAACCAATGTTTATGGACTTTTCCAATTTCAGAAGCGAGGAAAGTAAAGAAATCACACGTGAGACAATCAAATAAATGTTTTGAACTTGAAGCTGACCGAAGTATATCAACTTATCTATGAGTTATTATTCAAAGTATACTAGAAATTACACAAAATAGTGTGTTAATTATGGAAAAACTTCTTTATTTGATATACATACATTAAAATGTATTTAAAATAATTTGTGTTCATTCTTCCATGGTTTTAAATAGCTCAAATAATAGGCATTAGAGAAGAACATTTACTATGTGATACAGAACGGGTGTTGTAGTAAAAGTGAAAGAAATTACATTAGCATAAAATTGAAAATAATAATTTGAAACTAAATAAAACAGAAAGCTAATGCATCTACTATATTCTTTTAAGTAATTCCTAATAAATATACAATATACCTGACAGATTTTTCTGTGCTAATACTTAATTACTAATATACTAATAATTTATTACAGTATGTATTATTGTACGTCCGTGTGGTGACGGATTAAGAATACGGAGTGTCACCACCAATATTCATCCCATGGATGTCGTAAGAGCCGATTAAGAGAACAAACTCCGCAGGAGACCGTCACTAAAAAGAGAAGGAAAACTTGCAACAAAACCTACACCTACCCGTCTAGCTAGCGTGGTATAGTAAGCCAAAACCTTTTTTCTAATGAGAGCGTCAAGTCCAGCTTTGTAAAAATATACATATAATGTTACATATTAATTTATCATTGTAAAAAAGTTTTTTTTTACTAACTGTGTGTGTACTGTTAGTAAATAATTTAAAAAACAATAACTATCGTTCCAGATAAAAAAGATTTTAGGAGACATATCGTAAGTATCGGGTTAATGCAATAGTATATAATCTCGTCCCCAGATCAGAGGGAGACTCCAGACTAAAAAGGAAACCCAGTGGGGCCATTTTTGGGTCACCGATAGTTGCTTCACTGTCCAAAATAGAGGAACGACGACGGGTTCAGTGAGCACTTACTCTGCCACCCAGCAGGCAATTGGGACTGTGTCTTCTTGCCCCCATTTGCACATCGTAATCCCGGTAGGAGTGTGTCGTGGTAATGTCTAGCGACTCTACTCGGGATCGAGGGTCTTGGCTTAGCCGCCCGGACTGCGAGGAAGAAAACCGCTCTAAAAAATTACTCTGAACCCCGTGTTTAGTCGCAAGTTCAATCCCAGACGGAGCAGCTGCGGGCTTCTTGGCGAACGAAGAGGAAGGGTTGCTCGAGACGCCCATCGCAAAATAGCTCCCAGAAGTTAGTCTGTCTCCTGGGAGCCGAAGAACATCGGAACGTTTGCGTTCCAGATCCACCTTTTCGTCGTAACCTTAAAGGTTCTTTTGTGAGGGCCCTTAAGGACTCCTCTTTCGTTGTTGCTAGGGTCTTGGAGACCCTTATTAAAGACGTGGCTCGTCTTCAGGCAGCTAACGACCACCTGACGGGCTAGGTCCCTCAGCTCAGCTCTCAGTTCGCATGAATTCCGGGGGATCGCCCTGAGCGAGAGGGGCCGGCTCCGTCGCAACTTGCCTCTACTCTCTGTGTCGGTAACATCCCTGATGCCCACCCAGGGATGGTGCAAACCTCCTTGCAATTCTTAGTAAACATCGGGGCTAGCCAATCGACCCAGGATACCTCCGATGTTATTCGTTCTACTACGCCGTCGCTCATAGAGGAGGTTGTAGAGACGATCCAGTAATGGACCAAGTCTCCAACCTCCTTGTCCAGACGAACCTGAACCACTGTGCCGGTGCGCTGGATCTCTTTCTGCAAACCATGGCGCAGTGATCGATAGGTATGGCCGTAGCCGCAGAGCACTATTATATTCCTTCCCGTCCAAATTGGTTAGGTGATCGGGACGCCTCCGTGGCAGTTGTCGGCTCCACGGCGGCTCATTACCCGCCCTTGTCGCTAAGAGTCAAGGGCACTGGATATGTGGTAAACGGGGAGGGGGATTACCATATATGGCGTTAATTTCTCCCCCAACCGGAGTTTGAGCACGTCCTTGTTCTGGTGGTCTTCAACGCAAAATCCACTGCGTGGGCTTCCCCCAAGACGGGCGCAAGGGGCGAGGCTATAGAAGAGGCCTCTGTGGACCTCTGTCTTCTAAACAGAGGCTCCAAAAACACGTGCGTGCGACTGCAGGGGGTCGATATTGGACCTTTCGTTCGCTGACACTTTTGTTTTCGGATCCCCCCACCCATCGGTGGGGTGATTACGTCGGACTCGACCGGCCAAAAACCGCACGCCGTCTCGGGTACCAGTAGACGGGGAACCAGGTGTACCCTAGAAAGGAAATCCCTGGTACCCCGATGTACCTCGGGCCATCCACGGCGTGTAGATAGCCGGGGGGGCTATCTCTGTGTGGGAAGCCCCATATTCCCTATGTGCTCCCAAAAGGGTCCGACGCAATAGCATAGCATACGCATATTAACGCGAAAATTGAAACCAAGTAAGGCCACAAACACCTAACCACACGCATATACACACACGCACTCATGCACACATACACTCACGCACGCACACACACACGTACACGGACACACACACACCCACCCACACACACACATGCGCACGCACGCTACGCACACGACATTCACCCCCATATGCGCACTTGAGGGACTGTAACTCCTAAACACAGGCAACTTAGTTGCCTATCTAGGAGAACAGCAATCACTCCAATTAATTATAGCCTAAGTCATATACCTAACTATTATGATAACCTATGTAATGAATCTGTAAACTTTACTATGAAATAAATAGTGTGGTATACCCGTACGATCCGAATGGCCGCCACCCGCTGCGCTTGATTGAGCTTAGCTTGGCAGCGGGAGGAGGCTATAACGCAAAGATAAAATATTTCCAAATAAGTGTAAAACGTAAACTAATCACAATACGAAAAAATACCTAATCCATCGGCCTGCTAGTTTCCAAAAAAATTCTTAAATCACCCATTTCCGAGCAACTGACTTCGATTCGAACGGGTCAAGTAATAGCCTACATGGACACGGACCTTTTGAAATAATGGACCAACCAGGAAAAGAGCATTACGACCTTTCATTGCCTATTAGTCTTTCTTTATTTACTTTTGCCGGTTTATTTCAACAGACTATATTTTTATGATTGGATTTCGAAGGAAATTAGATTTTGTAGGTATACTGTTCCACTTGTAAGAAAATTATGGACCACGGCAGAGGTGACTAAACAAAACTAACTACACTAAAGCCAAACTATTACTAAAAATAAATAAAATAAAAACTTAGTATACTAAAGCCAAAAGTATACCTACTAAATGGATCGTATGTATGGTTAAAATTTAGGTAGTGACACAAAGTTTTGCATATTTTATATCACTCTATTCCTATGTTAAAGATATTTCTTTACGACTTACTATCCTAATTCCTATCTCACAAACCTGAGACAATAAAAACACCGCTTGCATATTTTGAAAGTTCTAGATACATCCATAACAAAACAATTCCTCGACTAAGGTGCTTCCTTCCTTGCTTCATGCCATATTTCACTCAAGTCATATGTTGTTACTCATGCAATATTTTACGAAATTGGGATATCTTTTCAAACTGTTAAGATCTAACACTCGTTATTCTCAATCCAATATTCTTTTCATACCTTATAACTTTCGATGTTCACGAAATTTACTATCAAAATTTGTATTTGAGATAACGAAAAACAAGAAAGAATAGAAATAACTACTGCAAAGACTAATGAATGAATTGACAATTAATTTTAAACCAGTGATCTTGACTATGATTATAAAAGCAGAGGTAATAAAATGATAATAAAAAATATTGTGTAATAAAAACCTATTAAAATATAATTAATAATATAATCAACAGTAAATGACCAGAACTAAAAAGACATTACGAATGTTATTTCTATTCAATAGTTTTTCCATAGAAGGTTCTTTCTATATTAGATTTTTTAACGTCTATTACCATTTTAAAGTATAATTAACTTAGAGTATAATTAACAGAGACCTAATATTTACACAAATTAATTGACATGATTTTGTTCAGCATCTGACGTGGATAATTAATATTTCGCAGTCCCCGACGAACACTATGGTAATCGCTATTACGATAGAATCGGGTTTATTAGATATTCGTTATCTACACACCCTATTACAATCATTGAATTTTTTTTATGATCGGGCGATGAATACTTTTGGATTTATCCATTCAATAATGATCTTTATGTTTTTGTTCAACGTATAACATAAGTGAAAAATTTACACGATCAATAACGCAAAAACCTATTACCAAATCTCAAAAGTCAACATTTTAGAGTAAGCGGCTATTACCATATTGTTCGAGGGAAAAATGACAGAATCAGAATCAGAATTTATACATAGGTACCGAAATGGTTATAACACCTAAAAATGATCATCGAATAAGCATGTAATTTATGTTTACCGTAATATTAAAGTCAGTTATATCATCGAATACGATTGCAATGTCATTTTACGAATATAAAGTATATTCATATTTACCATGGAACAATATCATAATGAACGATTACTACAGCAACACCGATTTGTGATTACAGTCGAACACTATCGTAAAGTTAGTTTGCGTTAATTTTTTCCATAGCTTATTTCAGTAATGGACATTTTCACAATTTTCTTACTGATAAAGAAAATTTATGATAAAAATTTAGTAAAAATCTAGTGCAAAAAAAATATTTCCTTATTTTTGATAAAAGAATCTTCTTTTTAGTCTTGATAGTATTCAAGATATTCAGTTTTTATTTGCTCCTGTAAAATTGTTATTTTCCTATTACGATTTTGTTCGTCGGGGACTGCGATTTCTTTAATAAAAAGAGATTTTTGACCTTTTCAATCTTAATTGAAACCAGAAGGTAGTAATAGAAACCCGTTTTTCTTTAAATGCGGTATTTATGTCAATTAATGTTTAGTGTCTTAGGATTAAAAATCATTCTAAATGTACATTTAACTATGGAGTGTAGAGGTAAGGATTACCATCTCTGCGTATGAAAGTTTAGTAAAAACGCGTTCAATAAAGGAGCACTACGGCAGCCTAGGATAAATGTATATTGGCTTAAATAATATTA